TCTTCCGATTACAAGTGGTGTTGTAACTTGCCTAGGAATAGGTGGTGGATCCTCCAATTGCAAGTGGTGTTGTAAATTGCCTAGAAATAGGCGGTAGATCCTCCTATTGCAAGTGGTGTTGTAACTTAGCTAGGAATAGGTGGTGGATCGCCGCTCGCCCCTTACCGGTTCGCCATTGTGTATTGTTTTCAGTTGGACGTCAGTGAAAGTCATTGCCACCTGCTATTCGCAGCAAGCAAACCGTTGTTTTCATTCCAGTTCGCTGTCCAGCAGTCCGTACATTGCCGTTTGGTTACTATTTTCACTTCGGACAGCCGCCGAACTCTCCCCACCTGCTGTCCAATAGCATATTTCACCTCCAACATACTTCCCAATGCCACCGATAACCCCTATTGTCACTTCCTTACTATGCCACAACCACCTCCTCACAAAACCCACTTCCTAAATGCCTTCTAGGAACCCAAAACAGTATAAATTAGTATCAGAGCCTAGCAAACCATAAAATTTTAGAGATTTGTTTTTCTACCCGAATTCAAAATTCACAAGGAAAAAAAAAGAAAAAATACAACTACCATACCATATACAATATTACCAGTGACTTTTAGCCCTAAACACAAAATTTCCAAAATTCAATATTCCTGCCTAAACCAAAAATCCAGCCTGACACCTATCATAAAAACCAAAACTTAGATCAACGTTTTATCCTCAACCTTACACTATTTGAAACTATGATCTGAAGAAAAAGACAAAATACTATGTGGGATAAAGCAACAAAATACAATTAAACAAGTAGCAAAATATGTACTTTGAGAATAAAAAAAAAGTATCTATAAATAAAAGTAGTTGGTGATGAAATAATAATATGCACGAAAAGGTAAAATATAAGAAGATATGTTATAAAAATTGTTTTAAATGTAAAAACTTAGAGAAGTGAGAAAAATATCACACGACCCACCCGCGGAAGTCTACAAGAACAATCAAAGACGCTAAAAATTCTACTTTTATTGATATTTATAATAGATTAGATACTAAGGTGATGAAAAATATATGTATAAACTAACCAAATAAAGAAAAAATAAAAAGATTTAACTTAAGAATGTCATCCTATTTATTTACTTGAAATTAGATATTGATAAGAATTGAAGAGAATTGATGATTTTTTCTTGCTAACATTTGTTTAGTATTTGATTCCAGGAGAGTTTCTGATAAGAAGTAAATAAAGTTAGAGGATAATAATTGTAGAATAATTATAATTATCTATGAATCAATGAAGTTGTGGCTTTAAAGAAAATCAAGGTTGGAAAATTAGTATGACTTGAGGATATTCCAATTGAAGCGTGAAAATATTTAGAAGATTTGGGAGTTTATTGACTTACTAAACTCGTCAATATTATTTCAAAAACTAAAATGATGCCCGCGGAAGAGAGGAAGAATATTTTGGTCCCCATTTTAAAGAATAAAGGGATGCACAAGAGTTTGCAAGTTATAGAGGAATTAAGTTGATGTGTCGTACTTTAAAATTATGGGAGAGGATAATTGAACATAAGTTACAACGTATTACAAAGATTTCTCATAATCAATTTGGATTTATGCCAGACAGATTTACTATGGAAGCTATACATTTATGAAGAGGTTTGATGAAGAAGTTCAAAGATGATAAGGAGGATCTATATTTGATTTTTATTGATTTAAAAAAAGTTTACGATAAGGTTCTAAGAGATACCCTTTGGAGAGTTCTTGAGAAGAATGGTGTTGATATGACTAATATTCAAGTTATAAAAGATATGTATGCTAGAGTTGTTACTAGTGTTCGAACTGAAGGAGGATTGACCAATTATTTTCCTATTTTTGTTGGATTACATCAGGGATCAGCTTTAAGCCCATATCTTTTTGCTTTAGTTATGGATGGTCTTACTGGACATTACAGGAGGATGTACCTTGGTGTATGCTTTTTGCTGATGATATCCTTCTTGTGGATAAGACGAGAGAAAAATCCCATGAAAAACTTGAATTATGGAGGTTTACATTGGAGTCTAAAGGCCTTCATTTGAGTAGAACTAAAACTAAATACATGAAATGTAATTTTAGTAGTAGTAGCTCTAGTGATAGAAGTGTAACTTTGAGTGATCAAATTATTAAAAGGTGTGAACGATTCTCGAGTCTGTTGTTCAAAGTGACGGTGATATAGATGAGGATGTTAATAGTAGAATTCAAGTTGGTTGGTTGAAGTGGGGGAATGCTTCGGGCCTTTTGGGTGATAGAAAAGTACTGTTTAGACTGAAAGGAAAATTTTATAAGATGGTGGTGAGACCTGCAATGTTGTATGGCGTTGAATGTTGGACTTTAAAAGAGAAGCATAATACTAAATTAAGTGTTTCCAAGATGAAAATGATTAGGTGGATGAGTGGCTTTACACTTAGAGACAAAATGCGAAATGAATATCTCCATCATAGGGTTAGTGTAGCACCAGTGACGGACAAAATTAGAGAGAGTCTTCTTAGATGGTTTGGTCACATCAAACGTCAACCATCTAATGATCCGATTATGAGAATAGATGTTTTAGACTCAACTTATGTTAAGAAATACAAAGATAGACCAAGGAAGACTTGGGCTTATTTTATAAAAAATGATCTTAATTTATTAGAACTAAATGAAAATATGACACTAAATAGAACACCACTTGAAAATATGACACTAAATAGAACACAATGGAGAAAAAGGATTCATATAGCCGACATCACGTAATGGGATTAAGGCTTTGTTGTTGTAGTATAGAATAACAAACTTTAGAGTAAACATTAAGAGTGAACTTGCACATTAAAATTTCAAACAATTTATAATAATTTATTGTAATAATCAAAAAATTATAACTTGCCAAAAAAACCTACAAAATAACTTTGACACTTTAAGTGCACTTTAGCGAAGCGAAGCGAGCATGAGACTTGTCGCCTTTGAGAGGAAACAATTAGGTAAAGTCATCCATAGGCACAAAGAGAACTCGCCAAATCGAGAGGAACAAGTGAATCTCTTCTACTAGTCAATTTTCAATGATGAATAACCAATATCTTGAATATTTAGTATGAAACATCAGAAAATACAAAACTTTAGAGTGAAGATTGATGTGCTAGATTTTGAAACATCAGAAAATACAAAACTTTAGAGTGAAGATTGATGTGCTAGATTTTGACAGGCATATGGATCCAGACATATTTATCTAATGGTAACAGGCAGTAGAACGGGACTTTGAATACAAGGATATTCCACTAGACAAAATGGTGAAGCGAGCTATTATTAAGAAAGAGTGCATCGCTGTGGTGGGAGAATCTGAAGCTTCTTCGGAAACGGGAAGGGAAAAACAGAATCTTTACCTAGTCCAACATGAAATGAGATAAGTAGCGCAAATACCTTTCTCCGCATTGTCGAAATGATATGTTCATAAGAATACATCACCTGAGTCAATAAAAATTCTTCTGTGGAGTACACAACTGAGTTCGAGCAACCTATGTTCAAGTGTGAGCTAATGGAGACGGAGAAGAAGACCATAGTTCGATATCTATGGGGATTGAGATTGCCCATTAATAATGTGGTACAGTTACAATCCTATTGGATATCACAGAATGTTCAAACTCTAGCTTAAAAAGTGAGAAACAATGTCATCGGGTGACCACCACACCTTACTGAAAGAGTTCAACATCAGGATTAGGCAGCAAGAGTACATCCAGTGGAGCATCCCAGCTGACCCCGCTCGAGAAAAAAATAGTTCAGAGTGGATAAAAAGTGCAATCCTCCAACACTCCCAAATCTGTTCAAGCAAAGAAGTGCCTTAAGTGCCACGGGTTTGGGCATCTTGCATCCAATTGCTCAAATAGAAGGGTGATATATTTCATTGAGCAGGGAACAGTTGAAGAAATGTACAATGACACGGTGGATAATGAATATATTAAAGAGAAGTAAATTTTCAACCAACGAGAAAGAAATGGTAGTAATTCAAGCTGAACCCAAGAGAGAGATCACAACAGAATTAATTGTGGAAATTATTTAGAATGTTTTATTTATAACATATTTTATTATTTTCTTTTATTAGAGATTTGTATTAATAGTATATTCTAATTCTTGTTTCCTTTTTTTTTATCATGAGTTATGGCCGATTTATGATTTTCCTAATGTGATTTATGATTTTCAGGAGTCATCTCCATCTATTTATCTTATAATAATTTCATATGAAATTAAAGAGAAAAATTTTTTCCTGCAAAAATCACATGGTATTAGAGCCAAAACCCTAATTTTTTATGTTGTTCTTGCTTCATGTTCACCTTTGACGTTCATTGCTTGAATTTTTTTGTCGTTGATTTCAAGTGTTGTTGCCTTCCCTGTGTTTGGACAATTCAATCGTTGCTACCTTCCCTACATTTTTACTATTGAGATCATTCAAACGCATCTGTCATTGCCTTCCCTGGGTTTAAATTTGAAGTTTTTGGCGGGCGAATAGGTTGAATTCTCAAGGGTGTTACTTTTGATATTGTGTGCTCAAGTTCAGAGACATGCCTGCCCTCAAGAACAAACTCTTCATAATCTAAAATTAACTTGTCGGATTGGAAAGCCAGGGACGAGCAAAAATAAGAGCAAGGAATAGGAAGGATAAGAATGACTTAGCAGGCTTCATCAATGTGATCGAGACCTAAGTGAGGCAGTAGAGAAATAATTCAAAGAAAAAGGAGGGAGTGACCACGCAGGTAAGTGAATTAATCACGGTGTACAGGAATTCTGCGCCATTCTAAGTTAAAAAATAGCAATTGATATTGC